TTCCTTTATTTAGTATACAGTATTTACACAAACAGTGGTAACCAGACAGTCTTCCAGTCAGACGCTGACAGCATTTCAGACCACATGAAGTGATATTTTCAACATGACGAGTCACCTTTTACGTAACAAATGGTTCAGTTTTTTCTTTTTCTGTACCAAACTGGATCTACAATAATCATTAAAAAAAAAGAAAACAGCAACAGCAGCTGTTTCCAGCCACAGAAATGTATGTGCCCATTGCCTTGTTCTGAGGGAAGGAAAGGGAAGTAGTAAAGCTGGAGAGTGGTCCATATAATAGCTACTACACTTGTAAAATACACCATAAAAATGGCAGTTCATCGAGTGTCAGGGTTTCTTTCTTTTTTTTCAGTAACCATAAAAGCCGTCCGTGTAGTTCATGTCACATTTCTTCCTTCTTTTTTTTGACCTCTAGCGTTCAGGACGGCTAAAGACTGATGATGTATTTATGACTGGTCTGGATTGTCATCTGGGCTTCAGCAGAAATTTGTGTAAATTTCTAGATGTGTGAATCAGGAGGAAACTTAAATGCAGCTATTTTAGGAGAAGTCTGTTTATAGCCGACGAGTGAGCAGCTGCTGCCTGAAGTCCTGTCTGAGTCTCTGTTTTATTTTTAATGCCAGCAAGTCAAGAGAGACGGACGACAACACCGTGAAGGACTGAGTCGCTTTTCTTTTGTTCATTTAATATTAATTCCACAGGAAAGAGCAGATTCTTTAGTGTCTGTCTTCACACAAACCACAGTGAGTGGCACACAGGAGGAAGTATTTACACCAGCGTCACAGGAATTTGTACATTCACCCAAGTATGAAGACGCTGACAGCAATTCACAGCAATACAACACGAAAGCATCTTCAGTTACAAGTTAAGCTAAAGAAGTCCAACAGCCGTAGCTTTATGCCTTTAATAAGGAGGCAAAGTATTTACAGGTTGTGTTCTGTCGACGTGTGCGGTGTTGGGAGTATGTACATGTGCGTTCTGAATGTTGATCACAGTGTCTGTCGGTCCTCCTCCTCCAGGAAGAGCTAATGGACGGACGGGTTTCATCTCACCTGCAAGACAAAGCATCCAGAGTTACATAACAATACTGCAAATAATTATAAATCACACTGATGCAATCACTGTTTTTCTACAGTTTGGTGAGGAATCAGGAGGACTGTTTGGGGAGGAAATGTCTGTTTGTGCTATGTTTAGCGTCGCTACCAGCGCGGCTCCAGGGACGACAATGTCAGACGTAAATATTTCTACAACTATTGGACGGACTGTTGTGAAATTTGGTACCAACATTCATGTTCCTCTCACAATGAACTGCAGTGACACAGAGGGACCTTTAGTTTGTGCCAAGCGCCATTGTCACGTTGGAATTTTGTAGATTTTAGTCCAATACAGGCTTGTATAGAATTACAATTAAGAATTTAAAGTTTTGACTCTTGGCAAAAACACTTAATATGCTCAGACTGCGTTCAGGCTTCGTATAAACAGCGGCCACATGAGTGTGTGTTCTCGCAGAAAGTTTACCGTCAGAGTTTTGCTGATGCCAGGTGCTCCAGCAGAAGGCCAGTTGGGTGCAGTCTGTCTGTCCGGCTGTGGAGCTGCTCGCAGGGCAGCAGGTTTAGGAAGACTGGGCTGCAAAACAGAAATGATGAATTCACAGTTTATTAACATAAGACGCCATATTTATGCAGCTTTATCTGCACGAACGCCGAGACAGTCCATCTGCGCCGTTTGAACCGCGGCGCTGTGTGAACTTATGACTCCTTAAAACGTATTTTCCTTTGTTATCTCGCCTTTCCATCCTTCCTGCTGCTGCAGCTCTGATTTCTGCGAATTAGCTCTGCCCTGATCTCCACGTAATAAGTGAAGTAAATCTCATTTAAGCGCACAGGAGACAGCAGAAGGCCACGACGTGACATTTAACCAGATAGAAGTGAGTGGAAGGTTAAACAAGAGGAGTGTTTTTGGTTTTATCTGGTTGCCAGTTCAGTAACTTGGTGAGTGTTGGTTCGAAACCATTTGTGTGCACTTCTTTTCCCTCATTCCCGTTTAATACGTCAGCACAGAACACATGACTCAGCTCTTTTTTACCTTAAGGCTGGACAGCATCCCCTGGAGCCTCTGAACCTCTTTGTCTTTCAGAGCCAAACGTTCTTCCTGCAGCTTCTGTTGGTCTCTCAGTTGGTTTTGTGCCAGCAGTACTTTCTCCATCTACAAACATATTGGCAGAATTTTAAATGGAAACCAATGCAACAATACTTTATTTGTACGCCATCATCTGTTGTTGGTTTTTGGCTACTGTGTGATTTATGCTCTGCTTAAAGCAAATAAAAAGAAGCAGAAAAAATAAGTTGATGTTGTTAATTTCATATTGAGGGAATCGGATCTCTCCATTGGTTCCCACTTTCCTCCCACACGCGAGCATCAAGCATCACCTACCTGGTCGTCGTGGGTCTTTTGCTTGAGCTCTAACAGCTTGGCGTTCTTGGCAATCGTCTCGCTGAGATCCTGTTCACACTGCTTCAGGTTGGCAGTCACGTGTGAGTTTTGCACCTCCAGTCGACTGGACAGCGCCTGAATCTCAGCCACCTGGAAGAGGAAAATTATCTTCTTTAAACGCTCTAAATGCGCTGCCATGAGTTTACTTTTAAATATAGCCGTTGCCCTCTTAGACTCTGCAGCAGGGAAGCCGCAGGCGTGATGTCGGGCCCAGAGATAATGGGCTGCGGCTGAAGAACGTGTCGTTTTGGGCTGCACCAAATGTGTTTCCAGATGGCGCCTTTTACATAATTGTATTGTTTTGGGTTACCCCGTGTCTATTTCTATCCAAATGATGACAACGTGGCTGCTTGTCAACGTTCATTTTCATGTTGTACAGCTGATGTGAGAATGAAATCTACCCTGAACGTCTCCCTGGGGACAGAACACACAGCTTAGAGTCGCTCTAAATCATCCGTCGAGCCTAATCATGGTCTACCAGACGTGGAGCTGAATCTGTAGGAAATGGCCACGTAGTGCAACAAGGTCAGTTTTTTAAAAAATTGATTAAGTTAATGCACGGGTTTAAAACTTTGCATGTAATTTGATTTTTCTGCCACGATCGAGGCCTGACTTAAAAATGAATGTATTGAGTAGCTTTATGGTTTGTATTATATTCCCACCAAAAAATATTCATAAATATCCAAATGAGCAACTTACTGCACACATATATAGGGCTTGTTTACTATTTTATACTGTCAAGCATTTTGCTTTTTACATATAAGTTCTTGGAAGTTCTCCGTAAAACGAAGCCTCCAAAGATGTTTGAAAACTGCAGTTAGAACTTTGAATAGGAAATCTGTCATATTCTGTAGAACATGTTTCATCAACATATTCATCCCTGAAGCCTTTTACTTGTGACAAAAGTTAGTTTGATTAATTTCTGTCTGGAAAACTTGTGAATCGAGTTGTTCCCGGTGACGATACGCACCGGCAGCAAAACAAGTGATGTTTTTTGACCCCTGAGTGACTGAGTGTTACGTCCAAATGAAATATTGCTCTGACGAGTAACGGCTCCTCGCTGAGGATGTGTGTTTTGCAGCCCTGCGCTGTGGAGCTGCTGTGTCAGCAGAGCCGCACACTTGGCCTCTGCTTTGACCCTGAGCTCGCCTCACAGGACATCTGTCTCTTTAGCTGGATTTGTCAGGAGTGATGCAGAGGATAGACTTCCTCCCCTGAGAAACCGGTTTCCCATCCAGCGAGTGCTTTGGAATATTCCAGAGTGCACACTTCTTTAAGGAGAATTGTGGTTCAACAGGAGTTTAACACCTAATAGAAACTGCTTTATAGGTAATAATAAATAAAATAAAATACAAACACATTCACCCAGTATATATTTTATATCTGTGTGTCCCTTTTATGCTATTTTTTTTTTTTACTTCTACTGGACTACTTTTTAGGTGGAAGTATTCTCTGACAGATTACTAGTCATCTTTCAGAGTTAGGTTCTCATTACAAAATAAAAAAACCAGAACAAAACCCTACATATGTCACTGATTTGGAACATCTTTGGCTTGTGATCTCTTGTTAAAAGTCTGTGTTTAGTTGGGGCTCTTTGCCATTTTTCAAACAACAAACCGTGTCGCATGCACACACCTTGTTGCCAACGTTGTCCAGATACAGCTGGAACTTGTTCTCCACGTCCCTGGACAGGTTGGTGCAGCTGTTTCTGATCTTCTCCATTTGCTCCTGCTGGCTGTCACAGGTGAGGTGAAAGGTCAGCTGGTGGGGAAACAGGTTGTTGATCCGGTTCAGGAAGTCCCTGGTCACCATCTTGATCCCGTCCAAAGAATGTGCAAAATCCTCTTTGCACTTCCTGGTCGGAAAAATACAAAACGTTAATGTGTTTGTTCTTGATGATTTGAGCCACCAGCAGCAGACAGACAGATGAACAGACAGAACCTGGTGTAGGTGGCGAGCTGCTCCTTCAGCATGACGTTCTCTCGGCGCAGGGTGATGCCGTCCTGGTGGAGGGTGTCTCGGTCTCGGAGGGCGTTGTCCCTCTCCTGGCTCAGATACTGAACCGTCTGGGTGAAGTTTGAATTGATGAGACTTATCATCGCTCTCTGCTGAGCGTTGAGGCTCTGCAGAGTCTTTAATTCACCTGCAGAATTCAGAGACAAATAATAAACAAGAACATTAATCATATCGTTATTTAAACATAGATCCATTGCCAGCGTTTATTAAAATTCAGGTGTTACTTTCAAATAAGCCGCTTTTGTGTGTGTATTTAAAAGTGTGTTGATGATTAATGTCAAGTTTAGTGACACGTTACTGATGATTTATTAAACAATAATGAGAAAGATTCACTCGAGGGTTGTTTGCAATCAATCACTTGCTCATATAAATGTAAATAGAAGGTAAATACAAGCCTGAAAATAAAAACTCTACATACAGATTAACTCAGTGTAGAGTTTTACACAGACAGCATGTTTCCAAACATATAAAAACTAACCTTATGAAACAGGCTGTAATATTTCAGTACGTGGTTAATCTGACAGGCTAAAGGCCTTCCTGCATTGTTGCAGCTAGAAAATGACTAAACTGGACGTCTCCATCGTCTCCATGTTTCAGGAGGTGGCACAGTGAGACGCTTTCTGTTGCCAAGATGGAGCAGATGCATGACAGCGAAGGGAAGTGACTATTTCCAGAAGTTGTAGGTGCCATCTCTCAGATCAGTTAAAGAAACAATATAAATATCAATTATGAGAATTGCACACATGTTGTGTTTTTTATTTTGTGTAAGTCGTCGTATTCTGCCTTCTGTCTGATGGATGGCAGTTCCTCGAAGGTGCAGTTTATCATTTTGAGTGGTTGGTTTGGACTGTTCATGACAGTATTAATCCACTGTTTATGTGTTACTGTGTGTAATGATGCTGGGTACTTTATGCCCACTGTGTGTGTGTGTGTGTGTATTGTTGTTTTTTTTTGTAAAAACTGTAAAAAAAAAAAAAAACCCTAAAAAATACCAGCCCGACAAATCAACTCCACAACCCAAAAAACTGCACCATTAATATTAATAAAACTGCCCAAAAAAGCATCAGTGGATAATTTACTAACCATTCATAAAGTCATGAAAATCATCTTTTTATATCAGACAGTGGTATCTTTATTCTTTATTCTTTATTCTTTATTCTTTTTGCTGAACTGCATCCAGATTTGTTTCACATGCAGTCATTTTGTCTTATTTTAACCACACAGACTTTACTACATAAGTGTTTTTATTTTACACATAATAAGCGAACTATAGCCAGAACCAGAACTCCTGGGGCAGCTAATGTGTGTACTCGAACAAAAGAGTTTCAGAAAACTATTTTCCAAAAGAGTGTGACATTGTGATACGTACTGCTGGTGGTGACCAGAGGAGGCTGGATCGGTGGGGTGGGGCGGCGGGTCATCATGGCAAGTGTTGTGGCGCTCACTTTCTCACAGGTCGCCTGAAAATGAAAAAAAAAAAAGACATTTATAGGACGATTAATGACTCGTCCGTTTTAATTAGTCCCATGGTGACCATCTGGAAAACTACACAATGTCTGAGGAAGGAACCAATCACGCTGCATGATTTGTAAATTGTCAAAACATTTCTTTTAACTTTGATTTGCTTTTTGTTATAATGAGAATTTTTCAGTTAAGATTAAAAAGCATTAAAAGCTGCACTAAACGACCTGCCTCCTCAGAACCAGAACCCTGGTGGTGTTCCCTCTTGTCCCTTGCTTGTACTTACCAACTTATTTCTCAGCTCTTGTTCTGTTTTGTTGGCAGCAGCCTTCAGCTTTGCCATCTCCTTCTCCAGCTCAGCTTTCTCGGCTGTGCGAGCTCCCAGCTGAGCTCCCAGATCTCCTTTCTCCTTCCCCAGCTGGATGTGTTTCTCACTGAGCCGGTTGAAGCTCAGCTCCAGCTCCTGGAGAGACAAACGCTCAGCATCATCAGCATCATCAGCTCTGAATGAGCTTAAATAAAAAAGATTGAACAATAAGATAAAATCCTTTGTTAAAACATATTGTGGGAAACAAAAAGCACTCTGAGTGTGACGAGTGTCTGGTCCAGTAACTGCATGTCAGTCCTGAAGCCTGAAAGCTCCAGTTAAAGACATTTCCCACCGAAAAATGGTTTTACTGCTACTTGTTGCAGACATCGGTTTTCTCAGTAGAAAGCTCTATCAGGCACAAACTATTACTCAAAGCTGAACATTTTTAAAATAAACCTGTAATCGATGCCTTTGATATAAAACAACATGACTTAAAGTTGTTCTAGAAGAAGTCACTGACCTTGACCCTCTTCTCTGCTGCTGACTTCTCCGGCTGTCCGTAGATGAGGAAGAGCACCAGGCTGACGATGATGAGCGACTGGATGAGGGAGGAGAAGAAGAAGATGATCCTCATGTAGTAGCCGCAGCTCTTCCCTCTGTGTCTGTGCAGCGGCTCTCTGGCCTCCAGGCCGAACTTGGCCCGGGAGTAGCTGGAGCTGTACATGGCCGCCGGGGGTGAAATGGTTGCAGCTGGGTTTGGAAGATCTAAACAAGAATGATTAAATCCGCAAGGATTTCCCGCTGATGTGATCGTCTCCGCAGCTCAGACGCCGAGGCTTTCAGGCCGTCACTGTCAGGACCAAGGATAGAAGCTTGTGGTTGGGCGAGTGTCTGTCTGTCTGATGAGTCCTCTACAGCTCAGCTGCACTGTACGGCTGCAGAAACATACAGGCAGGAATGGCATGCATAGATGGATGTAAACAGTGACCCTTAGGTGTGTAAGGGGCCATGTTTATAAATGGTGCTGGAGGCACACTTCCACTCCATCCTGGCCCAGCCCTCCCTCTCCTCCCTCTCCTCCCTCTCCTCCCTCTTCGACCTCTGTCACAGTACAGCCTCCAGCTGCCCGACTTATCACAGATTTTCCATGAAATTCTTTGGAACAAAAAGAGATTGCTGTGACGGGAAATAAAGTTTAAAGATCCTGTTCGGACGTGATTAAGACATAATTATTCCTAAAATCATACATATTGCCCCTCTGATGGAAACATTTCAAGTCTGTGAAGATGAAAAATGATTTCTCCTCCTTCACTCAGAACTGAGTCTGAAAGTCCTGTTTTGAGTTCTGACAATCCCCAAAACTGGACATATTTCATGTAATGTTCTGTGCTCTTTTTTTGTGCAGGTTGAGGACTGTGCATCTTCCTGCCTGTACTTTATATGAAGGTAGACTTAAAAATAAGTGAACCCATCCTTTGTTAGGACATAAAAGAAGAACACAACACGACCACATAGTGAACAAATGTCAGGACTCTTGTAACTGCTTTGTCTGCGTACGGTGGAGGAAGGACTCGTAGCTTTTTCTGAAGTAGGAAACGTGCTCCACTACAAGTATTAAGTAAAAGTACATGACTACATGCATTGTATTGCTGAATTAAGGATGCGTTAAGATTCAGATTAGAGGTTATTTTACAACATTACCAGCGATGTTCTGCAGGAGACTTTGTGGTCCTTGTCTCCTTGAGGTTATCTGTGACAAAATCTGTTCTTTTGTTCTGTTTTAGTTTATAATCTGCTCACATCAGACCAGGTACTGGCTGGAGGACTGGTTGATCTTGAAGGAGAGAGACAAACAAACACACTTTTGCACCAGCCCTCGTGCAGATTAACCTCTAGTGAGGCATTTTGTTTTTCAGATAATCACAATTTAAATATAAATCGTGACCTCAAAGTAGAATATTGACAAATTGTAGACAAGAGGCACAAAGCACAGTACTCGAGTAAAAGTACTTCATCTTCCTACGTGATTTTCCACCGCTGTCAGCATGCGATATAAAAACCCCAAAAGGAAACACTAGCCACCATTTAAATATAGCTCTGACAGATTGTTCTGATCATACGTCCCTGGTGGTGGATAAACAATGTAAACCATGTAAGGAGTAAAAGCAGAAAATGCCAAACAAAAGCTGGAAAAAAAAAAAAAAAGAATTCCACCATTTCCTGTTCTAAGGAAGCACGGAAAGGAGTCATGGCAGTGGAGGAGTGAAAGAATGAAAACAATAGGGGCCTGTCATTCTTCTGCCATGAGGGAATAACAAATTCTCCCCGGTGCCGAGGCGCTCTGGATCCCCCCCTCCGCTGCTATCTGGGGCAATGACGTGAGGAGCAGTTGGGTCGGCTGGGGAAGGGTGTGAAAGGGGAAAGGTCCTCTGAGTCTGGGGTTTTCCTGCTCCCCATTGTCTCCCTGACAACTCGTCTTCACCGAGGGAAAGAAAAAAAAAAAAAACTAATTTATGAAGGTGCGTTAGAGTGACAGAAAGTGAGGAATCAGGACGGAGACGAGTTCTGAACAAAAACAGGAAACCAAACGGTGGAAGATTTTGATGAAACGCCTCTTTAAAAAACAGAAAGGACACATTTTCTGAGATAAAACTCTACTGAGATAGCCAGCTAGACGGCTTCAAAGTAACAGGAAAGCTTCTCTTTATCACTGGAGTCATATTCATGCCAAAGTGGGATAAGAGACACCATTTATAATCTGAGCTGCTGCAACTGCTCAATCATGCTGTCATTTAACAGACTCATGCAATCTGAAATTAGAGATTATGGACCCTGACAAAAAAAGAAAAGATTAGCAGATGACCATTGAACACAGATCAAAGCATTTGACCAAAGCTGCCGGTCAGAATATCAGAGGGAGCATTTATAAATGTGAAGCTGCTCTTTGAATTCTCAAGAAGGAATTTGCTGCCACCTCCTGACAAAACCACAGAACGCAGAACAAAAAGATTCAACACGTCCACACATGAACGTTAAAGGTACGATTGAACATGCCTTTTTTAATAAACAGAAACAGCTTCAAAAAGCTCATCTGTACAACGTGTTTCAAGTGCAGTTAGACTAGCAGTACAAGGGGCCTTTTTTTTTTTACAGTCAAACCATCAACGCCACTGTCGAGGAAAAAAACAAATCAGGCAATTGACATCACTACATTCTTCCATTGTCTGTGAAACATAACGCAAAAATGACACAAAAACAACCCCTCAGAAAATAGAAAATACATCAAAACAGGCAACGAAGGTGGAAGATAACCGAAAGAAAAAGGCGTTATTATTATATAAGCTGTAAGTCTGTGATACAGTACATTAAAGTTCAATACTTTGTCGCTATGGAGACGTGTCACAGGTATCGTAGTTTGTTTGATTTCCTCCTTTAAGACTTACAGACAGATCAGTGTGGTCTACAGGTTGAAGGAAAAAAATACAGATAATGGAGTACGGGTAGCAAAGCGTTGTGCCTTTCTTCAGCGAATTTCCCGCCACAGCTGGGTCATTGTGTTACCCCCCCAGCTTCGAATAATCACTGACTCATCTGCTCTCTTCTGGAAACACAAAGGCTGCGCGGTTAGTAACTTACTTTAACCCTCTTTTTCTTTGGAACGACGCCTGGTGTTCCCAAATATCGTTGATCTTTTGCTCTACAGCAGTTAATGGAAAAACACAGTAAGAATGTCTACTTGAGGAGAGCCCCGCCCCTTTTCTGATAAACTACAGTGTGCGTGGACTTCACAGAGGAGCGGAGCTTTTTAAGGGCATCTTCTTTTAGACCGTTGCTTCAATGTCCTGGGGGTCGTCCCCCTCCAGCAGGCTGTACGATGCATGACTTTGAAAAGGTCTTTGTAGAGGATGAGCCAGAAGTTTGGCCATGCAGTTGTGCAGCTCAATGGCAGGTCCACTGAGGGACACCTCAAAGCGATAGCACATGCCCTTTGAGTCCAGGTTACAGAAAGAGGTGTAGTTGTCCTGGAGGAAAGGAAAACAATGTAAAACACAAAGAACATGTTTTGGTTTCATCATTATGAGAAAAGCTTTAATATCATATTAAACATGTAAGGTATCGTGTCGCTTTTTAACTCATTAATAAAAGTCTGGCGTGTCCCCACAGGGAGACTTTTAATGCTTTACCTCAACTGTTGTTGTTTTTAACTTATAAGTTTGGTGAGCTTTATTAAAACACAGTAACCCACCCAGTCCTTTTCAACCATCTCTGATATCCCTCAGTGTTTCAGGTTCCACAGAGCTCTGACCTCTGGGCCTACGACCCAAGCTGATGGTATCATTAGCCACATCAGCCACACAACACGCTAACACTGAGGAAAGTCCTGCTGCTGTGGTGACGTTGTCATCAAACAGTAATCCACTAGGTGTTCAGTTCCTTAGATGCTGGGAGAGCATGAAGGAAGTGAATATCTGCTGAGCTTTGCTCGTATCTGAGGCATTGTAGAGTTTGCAAAAGCAGCTCTAGAGAGCAAAAACAATCTTGTCAAACTGTGAAGCAGCTGCTCATTCTAAATGGCTCACCTGGAAGCAGCAGGCAGTGAGAGGCAGCATTACACAAAGTTTAAGCTTTTGCTTTAAATCTCAAGTTCACAGCAACCACACACAAAAAAAGATTTTCACCAGATGGGACCTTTAATATGACCTCACTGCTTGTGCAGACAGGATAAAGGTTAAAAATAATACCAAACAATATCCAAATACACTGAAGTGGAATTATTGAGCCAAAATGCACGATGGAGCTGCTGCACACAGTGAAAAGTGATCGCCCTCCACCAACATCTTCTCCACTCACCCTCCAGCTGGTCTCATCCCCCTGCTCGTCTACTCCGTTGTGTAAGTAGACGACATCGAAGAAAAAATATGGAGACTGCAGCATCTTCTGTGGCAGGACAGAGGAACAGGCAAGGCTATGACTCAGATGTACGGTTAACTCAAAACAGCCACAAACACCCAAAAAATGTTGATTCATGAGGGAATTCAAACTCCAGCAAAAAAGCACAAGTACACCAGCTACAAAGCAGACAGAACAGAGACTTACACTAACAGCCTCAGAAGGGTTGAACTGCAGCTGGCCTGTATGACGGCTGTAGATGAGTACGGTCCGGACCACATACGGAGGTGGGACGGTCTGAACATTCTCCATTGAGGGCAAGTCGATCTTCTGACGACTACAAAAGAAACAGAAAAGCAAACAAACACCTCCGTTGAAACTGTTGAAACCTTCCCATGTCACTTTAATGTATTTCAGTAACCACAGCAAACTTTTTCATGTGTATAGACTTTCTGTGGGTACTTACATGACATTCAGGAGATCTTCCAGGTCTAAAAAGCACAGTTAAGGCTAACACTGAGAATCTAATAATCATCACTGTATCATAGACAGTCCAGTGGTTAACAGGCAGTTTTCAGTGAAAGGATACTGAAGGACTCGCACACATTGGTCTCCAGGTCATACAAACAGCTGCACAACTCCCTGGGATCAGAGGTGAAGCCCGACAGCTGAGACACGTACAGACGTACAGAAAGTGATATTACATTACAATTAGTAAATGAAGCAAACTTCTATATTAAAGCATCACTTCTAAACAAACATCTAAGAGCATGTTGAATACTAGAGTGTTTCTTTGTAATAATTTGGGAAATTACATATTCTGTAAGGGGTATCTCAAGAGGAAAATCTGGATAATATCAAGGCTTCGACAGACATTTAAAACAGGCGCTGATTAAACGACTCCTGTACTCACCCACAGGGCATCATCGTTGACGACAACCAGAGCAAACTCATGCCGTTTGTCAATCTTGTGCTTTGTTCTGACAAACATCTCAATCATCTTCTGGGATATGTTCAAAGCATTTGTTTTAGATCTAAATTGAAAGACAGACATGTTAGGAAGTGATGACAAAAGCACAACATGAACAGAAATTAAAGGTTCATCATGCAGTCGCCTACCCATTAAAAGACTCCAACTTCGGCAAAGACATCTCTTCAGAAAGATCTAAGCAGATAATCTGTCATGAGGAAGACAACACCAGGTAGTACAAGCCGTACAGTAAGTCACTCGTTACTTTCTTGACATTTGCTGTGTGGACCTACCACTTTCTCTGGGCAGTTGACACGAGGAACTCTGAGCTGGTACTCTGCTGGTGGAGGGACGGATGCTGTGAGTGCAGGCTGCTGCTGTGTGGGCTTCGGCCGCTCTTTGGCCGCCACAGCAACAGTGGACAGCGGCACTGAGGTGCTGGCTGCAGCCGCAACACCTGCGGCAGCAGCGGGGGCTACAGTCTGAGCTGTGGCTGCTGACACGGTCGTGGTGGTGGAGCTCGGAGGGCTGTCGCTGGTCGAGGCCTCGCCCTCTCCCTCCACGCGACTCCCCACGGCGGGCTGGGGTATGTTTGGGTTGCTGTTGCCTCCGAGGCTGCCGGTGCTGCTGCGACGGTCCTCGGCACCCTCAGGGTTGGAGCGTGTCCGAGGTCGCAGCTCCACCAGACGCTCCTCTCCATCTGCTGGGCCCGGCTCTGGCGTCTCCATGGATACGCAGGATGCTGACAAAGTGATGAGGGGAGTTTGGATGAGTGGCAGGTTAGGTTCAGAGAAACTGCATGTTGTTAACATTTAACTGTTTACTGAATCCATTTATATTTGAACTTAAATAAAATTGCAATCCACTTTGCTTTCCAATCACCCCTCAACAAAATAAAAACAACCGGAAGTCTACACACATCCTAAACTGGGGCTTCTCGTAGATTTAAATGCACCACATGCCCTGATCTCACAATGGGCACAAGGAAGCTGCCTACACTGATTTCATAACCACATCTGTACTTACAGAAGTTTGCTGCTACTCTGGTTAAAGCATTATAATGTGAACGTTACACGGCGGAAGTGTGAGTATGTCCGTTTCAACTCAGTCTTTGCGTAGACAACAATTTTAATAATAAGACTTTTTCAGACTAATAGCTAGAAAATTAATGCGTCTAGAAAGACTGACACTGGACCCAAGCGGCTAACAAACAGCTCGCAGTGAAGCGGAGACGTTTGGTGTGAGCGCTGCACAACATGTAGCCGTTAGCATTAGTTAGCTTCAACAACAAATACGTCAGAGCAGATGAGTGGAGAAGTATTAAAGTGTTAAGTTTGACTGAAGAAGACTGCTTACGTGGCTGGTATTTACGACACGTCTACGATTTAAACGAAAGAAAAACTCATTGAAAGTTGCAAAAAAAATCTTCCAGCGGCGTGCTAACGTTTGTTTTGAACGGACAACTTCCTCACCAGGAACGATACACACGGAAATGCAACGGCGCGGAGCATCATGGGTAATGCAGTTTATGGCCTGCGGTCAACAAACACGGGTCCTCTTCTGCTTTTCTACTCTTACTGCTGTTATAAGTGTAGTGATGTTTGTAGAAGGAGAAGCAGCGGTAAGAGGATGCGTTATTTGACAGTTTGTTGAGTCTGTTCTCCAGATAGACGCTATCACTTTCACCATGCTGTTTGTCATCAAGGCTGCAAAGAGAACCTTCAGAAAGAACAAATTAAATACACAAAACCATGATCCAAAAAAGATCAATTAAAAAAGAAACTGGCATTGACAATATAAAATACAACATAATAGAATAGCCCTTTATTGTCAGACAGAATATACTCTAGTTGGTGCACATTTTGACTGAGATTTTGATGCAAAAGCTCGTCATTGGACTGGTAAACAACAAAACAAAAAATATTATTAGAAATAAAAACAATTACAATATGTACATGTTAAAAAAAATAACTATATACATATGCACACACACACACTCACAAATATATACACATCCGCGCACATTTATTTCACAGTAAAGAAGTAGAAGCAGTTTTCTGCAGTGAACAGTGAACTGTAGCAGCAGCATTGCATGTGAAACATTAAATGTAGCAGCTGTTATACAGTTATCAGCTAATTATCTGTCACACAGTTTTGCAAAACAAGCTTTGGTAAATTAAATAAAATGTACGTATCCATAGTCTTTATAACAGACAGGCAGATGAGGAAAATTAGCCTTTGCGGTGAAAATTTTTGTCTTTTTTTAAAGCGATAACACATTCATATGAGTTTTAAAATATGCCTCAAGACGTATCATGAGTGAAATAAGCCATCAACACCACAGCTGAGCATTTAACCCTCAGTGAACCAAAGACATCCTCATAAACATGGATTTAGATTCCAGAGTTTTACACATAACAAACGTAAGAAACAAATCCTATCAGCTTAAAGGATGGGGGACTTTCTGTTTCATTGTCCTTCAGAATCAGTTTGCACTTGTGTAGCATAGCCAGTGTGCACAGAGATGTAGTTGAGCTGATGTGCTCAAGCTGCAGCAGGCAGCGGAGGGATGTGTGGAGAGGCAGGCAACGATTACACAGATCTGCGATTCAAGAAAGAGCAACAGGTTAGCGCTACATTAAGCCACTTTGACACATGAAGGGACTATTTTTGTAGAAAAATTAAAAATATGAAACTTCGATACACAGAGATGATCTTCTACGGGTTTAACTGCTGACCAGCGAGGGGCTTTAAAGATCATGTAAACCAGGGGTGTCCAATCCTGGTCCCCGAGGGCCACAGTCCTGCATGTTTTAGATGTTTCCCTCTTCCAGCACACCTGATTCAAATGATCAGGATGGTTATCAGGCTTCTGCAGAGCTTGATGATGAGCTGATCATTTGAATCAGGTGTGATGGAAGAGGAAACATCTAAAACATGCAGGACTGTGGCCCTCGAGGACCAGGATTGGACACTCCGGATGTAAACTGATTGCCACTTTATACATTTCTTGAAATTAAATTACATAATGTCCAGAGAGGATATCCAGAAGTGACATTACTGGTCATAGTCTGCTGCTGAGCAGACATGGAAGCTAACAGCGGACAAAACAGGAAAGGACACAGAGTGCAGGGGAATGGGTGGGGATGACTTTCACAGTGTTTTCCACTTACTTCATTCATCACACTGAACGCTGTTAGGCAGACGCGCAGAGAGCAGACTGCCACACAGACTGACTGACTGTTGGAAAATATAATTGCACAAAATAGCAGGACTGAAGAAAACATCTTCTCGTTTTGTTAAATGTTCGAACACGTCACAAACTGAGTCACTGCTGCAGCCGTAAAGACCCAGAAGTATGGAGGTAAGTCATGATGAAACATCTGAGCCTTGGAAATGTGCCGTTTAACATCTGTGGACCAGTCAAGCTATAATATACATGAACTGTGGCAAAGTCTATGAGATTGTGATGCAGTTTAAATCTGTCCAACTTGATACAGACGCCACATGTTGTCTCAACATGATGTGCAAGAGAAGAACGACTCTGTATATAATCAACGCACTTTGTATTGAACTCATAGCTTTCCTGACCTCCTTTCTGAATTTCTAACAGGATTTTTCATGCGTGTTACTTTGTTGTATTCGTGTGTTTGAATCTGTATGTTTGCACAAGTTCACATACTCAAGTAAATTTGAGGCACAAAATTGCCCAAAATGGTAAATGTGAGCATTTGTCTGGCAAACTATCGAAGATGTTTATTTGCCTTTTCCCCTGAGCATGCTGGACTGGCCTCTCTGTGACACTGATTAGGAATACTTGGGTGTTAAGGATAAGAAATTTGAAGCATCTCGCCAACTCTGTAGCACAACACACGTCACAATACATGTCATTGAAAGAAGTATGTGTTGAATTAAATCAGAGTGTTTCTCGGTGATGTGTGTATAAAGTTTATAAGTAAATAAAAACAGTGACATTTTCTTGCAGTTTTTATATTTAGGCATTAACCCAACATTCCTCATGCAAAACAATAGAAAATATTTGCTGGGCAGGAAGTTGGATCTCAGGATGTTTTAGTTTCCTCCTTTTCCGTCGCTCAAAACAATAGCAGCTAAACAGTCTGGTGTCTGGTTCAAGAGCATAACACATTTTTGATGTGGATATATGTCGCCATTTTATTTGGCTAAGTTTAATTATGAGGTCATGGAAGATAAATGTTCACAAAGCAGTGTTATATTGGTACTCAAAGAAGTGATAAAATGAGAAATCCAGCTAAAATATTAACTCATCTGAGGTCCACCAAGCTGTCTCCCTGCAGTCTAAATACAAGTCGGTGCTTCTGCAGGATTCAGGGAGGAGCAGATGTGACAGTCTGGATGCAGGATCAGGGTGTGACACGGAGCTGATGAACCCAAGCGACCATTTAAGCCTTGACCCTGAGGGCTGTGACCCGGCAGTCAACCTGGAGCCCTCGCAGGCAGAACTGGCTCAGTGTGAGGCTGAAGTGGGAACTCTGCTCAGCATCATCGCTGAACTGAACAAGAAAATGGGGTCCCTGAAGGCTCCCAGGTAAGGCATGAATATGATAACAAATGTGGATTTACAGCATTTTGTGATTTGTGTTTACTCATATTACACACTGTAGTAGAACCATGCATAATTCACATTTATAGACAACACATGATTCAGCTTCCTGCTTATCTCAGCATAAAAACACTTCACTTGCAGTGAACCAGGTGACATGAGACCACCAGGTCCATCCAGACCTCTGGTTCCAGACCTTCTGTCTCACCGGCTGGTCAGAAGCAGCCCAGAGAGGAACGCTGCCTCCATCGTCTCATCTAAACCGCCAGTGACTGACCGAGGTTGGCACAGACATCTCTACACTTTCCCTTTGTTCAGGAGACTTCATCACTCAGGATGCTATACATCTCTACTGAAATGGGCTAGAAGTGTCTGTCCTAAAGAATAATTGATTTAAAATATTTATTTACTGTGTAATCTTGAGGAAAAGCCTGAAACACATGATGTAAGCTGAGAAGAGCTAAATACCATTATTGTAAAAAAAATAATAATCATAAGACAATCTGCTGCACCTCTGCTTTTTATCCTCTAGGAGGCAGTGGCGTTGTCTGGACCAAACTGCAGGAGGTTTTATCATCAGTGGAGGACTCCATCAGCTTTAGGAGGACCTGGGCCGTCCCCATCACCGCCTCCGACCAGGACAAACAGAGAGAGCACCTGAGAGCAGCCGAGGACAACTGGGTTAAAGCCAGCCAGGTAGACTGTTGGAAAAAAATCAATCACACTCAAGAAATGTGTGAAATCTGTGTTATTACAGCTTCAAAATCTAATGTGAGGTAAAAATGACCGGCTATTCTCTAATAAAAATGTTAGAAATTCCACAAATGGCACAAAGAGTTGAAGTAAAACATGGCTGCCTGAGTTTTAATGGATCAGTTTAGGAGAAACATACGTCCTTGTTCAGGCTATCTTTAGACTCCCATCAGTCCCGTCGGTAATTTTGGTTCACTGGTCGCAGATACTGGAGGAGATGGAAAGAGAGTTTGGGATTTCATGCCCATTAGGCCCGCCAAAGGACCAGTACCAGGAGGACACGCTGGATGTGGATCAAAGGGAGTCAGCTCTCAGAACCACCTTGCAGGGTCACCAAGAGGAGCTGCAGAGAGCGCAAAGCAACATCAGCCAGACAGAAGAGGACAGGAGCAAGGTGAGAAGTGTGCAGGAGTCAGTTTTGTTAAAGAAAGCGACGAGGAAACATGTGTATGCAAAAGGCTACTGGATAGATTTTTAAAGTTCTATAATTAAATGAACCTGGAGGAGTTTTATTGATGTTAGAAAACCTGCTGTTATCACACCGTTTAGATAAACCCAATCCCACAGCTTGTTGGCCAAAAATAATCTAAACCAAACACTTCAGACGAATCATTACAGAGTTTTAGTAATTAAGCGCAATTTGTGAGACAACACAAGTAAATTCTTCTGCTCTTCTCTTGTGTTTCAGCTGGTTGGTCTCCATAAGACCTGGAGGTCCGGCAGTCACTCCTCGTCCCTCCGGCTCTCTGCTGGGGCTACGAGTCCAGATTGGGCCTCTCCTCCCTACCCTGGTTCACCGTTACTCCACAGAAGAACGACCAGGGCTCTGTCCGTAGGCGGGGACGGGTCTCCTCTGAGCTCCGTTAACTCGGGCAGTCCTTGTCCCAGCCCCATCAGCCTGGAGTCTGAGACCGAACGACTGAACAGGTGAGTCAGAGAAGCCGCTCAGGATGGTTCCAACAAACAAAAACTAACCAATGCAAACTTAATCCTCATGTATATTTCTGTGTTTTTAAATTTGCCATTTATTTAACTCGTGATTTCACATTCTCAGAACTTCACATAGCTACCCATGTTGGCAGTGCTGACTCCTCCCAACTACTTAATTAATAATTACCTTTTCATATACTCAGCTATGCTTAATTTTAAGCCTTAATATAATATAAACAGGTGAGTTATATCAAAATTCCCCCCGGACAGTCGTCATAAACAGGGATTTTAGCTATAGAGACCAAAACATTTACTTGTACCAGGTTGTAAACATGTTTAATTTCATGGTAAAGATGACCTTTATAACATGGGGGTCTATGGGGACTGACTCACTTTAGGAGCAGGCCTAATTTTTCCACACAGCCAGAAACAACTGACTCTTTGATTAATGCTTAACTCAACCACAGTAATAGATTCTGGCTCTACTGGGTAAATGGCACTTGTATGGCGCTTTTATCCAAAGCGCTTTACTCTTTTCTCATTCACCCGTTCACATTCTGCCATTGGGAGCAACTTCTGGTTCAGTGTCTTGCCCAAGGACATTGTGACTGTGGTGGGTCAGGATTGAACCGCCAGCCTTGTGATTGGAGGACCACCCGCTCTTCCACCTGAGCCACAGCAGCTCTACTTCACCTAAAGAGTCTGATAAGGTCAAAACTCCAACAACACTTGTAGTATAAAGAACAGCTTCACTGTCAGATCGGTCATTCTGGCTTGCAATGTGTTTTATGACCACGCTGAAGGCCGAGGCACAGCGGTCTGATCTGACAGTAAAGTCCTCACGCTACAAGGGTTGCAGCTGTTCTGACCAGTACAGTCAAGCTGCTTCTTCCTCCACAACACCTTCATTATTTGTGTTATTTAAACTCTTTTGCTCTTATTCCCCTCATCCTCCCTCCCACTGTCCCAGATGCATTGAGAGGCTGAAGGCCAGAAACGAACGTCTGACTGCAGCTCTGGAGCGAAGAAAGGGAGAGTCGGAGCTGATCAACGTCACACTAAACAGACTGGAGTCTGACTGCTCGGCCCTGCAGATGGCCCTCAGATACTGGTACACGACAAAAAGCACCTGACACACCTGTACAGCACTGTCTCAACACATATGCATGTTCTGTGTCAGTATCAGAGTTCTTTGACATGTGTCATAATAGTGACTGTGCAGAGGTCAGCAGTCCAACAGTGTTCATTTGGGTTCTTCTCGTCTGGCGAGGTCATCTTTTGTCTTTGTGCTTGTGATTGACAGTGAGGAGTGTGAGGAGGCCTACAGCGAGCTACTGTCACTTTATGATGCAAAGAAGCAGCAAAGCATTCCTGCGCAGACGGACCCAGCAGGTGTTTGCATGCCACGTTTTAATACTACGTACAGTTCAGGGCACACGTATACCACATTTATTGCAGGCATAAATGTCATTGACGCACACATCAGACACACTTGGGGTCACACATTATTCCTCTGATCAGAGCCAGTCGGTGACAGGCAGCCGCCCGACAGTCCATCAGCTCAGCTCAGGAAAATGGGAACTGAAGAGCTGTCCACCTCCTTCTCAACAGCAGGGGTCACAGAGGAGATGGAAACACAGAGTCACACAATGCAGAGGTGACATTTTAAAGCACTGTTATGCAATCAGGTAACATAGTGGTGGTTTTGTTTAGGTGATGGCACCAAGGAGGACTAAAATGATCTTGCCTTAATGTTTCAAAAGCTGCTAGAGGTGACAAAGTAAAAGCGTTATCATCTTAAATTAAAATATGACCATTCCCTTCACTGCTTACTGCATGTGTCCCTGCAGGACAGCTGAGCCTGAGGTGGGTCGGGAGGCGGCTCTCCGGCAGCAAATTGAGCGCCTGAAGAAGGACCGAGCAGCCATTTGCCTCCCTAAGCCAAGTTCAGGGCCAGAGAGCAAACTGAGGCCTGAAGCTGGTCAACTGGCTGGATCCAGATATGGACACATGACCAAAAACGGCACCAAACCTCCTGACGGCAAGAAGGAGAAAGCTTCCCTGTTTTATGAGCTCATCTCAGTCAGGGTAGGAGCTGCGTGTTTGTTGCCCGTATTGAAGTTTGTTTGGTGAAAAGTTGAGATCCTGCTGGAGAAAAAAGGTGATTAAAAGCAGGTGAAAGCTCGAATGCAGAGAGAGGATGAGAGAAAATATGGCTTTTGTCACTTTTAGACACATTTCATGTTGTATTGCAAAATACTACCCTTCCAAAAGCGCTGCAAGGTGGAGCGGTGGTTAGCATCGTTGCCTCGCAGCTAGAAGGTCGCCGGTTCGTGTCCTTGTGAGGACACCCGGGATCTTTCTGCGTGGAGTCTCCATGTTCTCCCCGTGCAGCGTGGGTTCTCTCCGGGTTCTCCGGCTTCCTCCCACAATCCAGAAACATGCTGAGGTTAATTGGTGATTGTAAATTGTCCGTAGGTGTGAATGTGAGTGTGCTTGGTTGTCTGTCTCTAAGTGTAGCCCTGTGATAGACTGGTTACCTGTCCAGGTGAACCTGCCTTCACCCTGAGTCAGCTGGGATAGACTCCAGCCCCCCACGACCCTAGTGAGGATTAAGGGGTGTATAGATAATGGATGTTGATTCCAGGTTTTTAAAATTTTTGTAAAATGATAATCAAAGAAATTTTACTTCCTGTTTTTATGATATATGGCATTACAACCTTTTCTCACAGCACACAGACATTTTTATTTTTTTTTATCTCTCTCTACTTCTAGTCATGATTGTGCTGTTTCCATAGAGGTGCAGGACTTCATATTGCAGTGAAAACTGAGCCCACAGTGGATCAAAATGTGACGGGAGCAAAACACATCGTAGGGTTCAAGCCTTACAATGACCACATTTATGGCTAAAAGCAAATGTTGGTATATTTTTGCTGTTACAGTTGAATAAACCAAACATCAAAAAGAAAAGATCCTTAATCACATCGCCGTGTCCAGTTTCACACACCATTTAGTGCATGCTGCTACGATCTCGATATACTGCTCACTATTGATCAAATATGCAGCCGCTGTGAGGGAGAAGTGAATGAGTAACCAAGGGATTGATTTTTGACAAGGATTAAAACTCAAACACATAAGCTCACACCACTACAAACATACAACACAGACACAGATTTACAACATCAGGAGACCGCTGCAGAGTTTTCAGGCTTTGGTGATCCTCAGCTTAGAGCGTAAACCTTCATAAAAGTGCCAACAGAGAAGATGAAACCTGCTGGTTGTGCTTCGAATATGGAAAGTTTTCTACTGTAGCTTTGCTTTGTTGTATTTGCCTTTAACTCTTCATGTACTCTGGTTGTTGTTCAGGAAGAGATGTCCGATCTGCGAGCTCTGATCCGCCTTAAGGAGAAGGAGCTGAGGTGTCTGGAGTGGAGTTTGGTGGGCCAGAAGGCCCAGGAAGCAGCTGGAGTTTTCATCCCAGAAAATCTCAGAGAGGAGGTGGAGGACCGTAGGACTGAACAACAGGTAGGACAGACTCCTGCAGCGGCGATGCAGGCTTTTTTTGAAATTTGCAAATAATACAAAGTCAAGGTGAAATGAGCAAGAGGGAGCAGGACGTTGGTCTACTGTGACAGACCCGATTCAAATATGGGTGTCCCACATGGGAAATCACACATGTACCAAAGCAGAATCCCTCCAGGCTAAGAGGGATATTTTGGTTCCACAAGGTCTTCTGCTGGGCTGTCCTGTCGCTGCAGCACAGATTCATACCACACCACGCACCTCTGTCATTGTCAGATGACAACGACCTGAACAGCTCCTTTAGGTTAACGCAGCTCTCTGTCACTCCCTGTGTTCGCTCATCTCCATGGTTTTCCTTCATCAGACCACTTACACCTCCAGTCCTGCACACTCACTGATTTCTGCAGGCTGATGTCTCAGCCAGCATTACAGCAGCCTCCCATGCAGCTGCTTTAATGACTCGCATGCAAAACAGAACCCTGGCTATGATCAGATTTATGGAAAAATCGTCGTGTTTGATCCTGATTTTGAGGAACCCGGACTTGATATGTGACGGTGGTGAATAATGAGACCCAACACGTGGTTCTGCATTTGGATTCTGTAATGACTACCCACAGTCGAAACCAGAAGTTTACATACGCTGAACCTTCAGGCATCTGGAACATGCACCCAAGGATGAACCAGACTGGTGGAGGTCCACAGATCTCCTCCTGATGTCTTGGTTGATTTCTTTAGATGTTTTATGTTGTCACAGATGGAAGCAGTGTATTTGAGGTGTGCCTTAAAATACATCCCGAGGTGTGCCTCCAATTAACTCAGATGTTGTTAATTAACCAATCAAAAGCTTCCAAAGCCATGACATCATCATGTGGGCTTTCCTAAATAGTTTGAAGGCATCTTAGTGGATGTAAACGACTCTGAAGAAAGTAATAGAAAATGTCTCTCTCTCTCTCATTATTCTGGCATTCAGCAAACAGAAATACATTTGGTAATCCTAACTGGCCTAAAACAGGAAAAGTTTAGTCTGATTTTATATGTTGTCGTACAGCGTATGTAAACTTCTGGTTTCAACTGTAGATGTGATTATAAATAACTGGCTTTCCCATGTTCCCTGTAAGCAACGTGATTGACACCACGATAAGGCCACGGTCCTTATCGGCTCGTCTTGTGACCTGACAAACATCTTGGTAGAACACTCGGCCAGTTATTTTCAGCTAACAAGACCAGCTCCTGTCTAAATGACTGTGGAGGGAGCCGTCACGTTTTAATGGTCACTGGGACACTGGTTTGGTGATTTTGCCCCAAAATACATGTTTTGTTTTTTGTTTTTTTTCCCCCAGCAAGTTCACCTTTAACTATGCACAGTTTAACAACACTCCACTTCCACTGGTGCAACAACACAACTGGCTGGATGCCTCATGAAGTCTCTGATAGGACTCAGAGCTGTGATACTAATGTGCTTGCAATCCTCTTCAGTGTTTTTCGCTCCTGCACTGATCATTCACAACATTTAGATCTGTTTAATTCTCAACTTAAGGGTCCCCTGTAGAAAGATCACATCATAAATCTGATTTATATTAACCAGTAAATCAACATCTTTTTTTTTTTCTTTTCTAAAAAGCAAATTTTTCTGTGTCACATAAGTACATTTTGTCTGACTTTTTTACAATCCTTGCTCTTTATATTGCAAAATTTGAACACGGTAACCTCTTCAGGCTATTGGAAAGTTGGAGATGAGTAGACACAGCATGACTTTAAGTGTCCACAATCTGAACAGCCTGAGAACCACAGCTTCAGAGTAAAATGTACAAATATCATGTTCTGTAATAAACAGAGAGCAGAATGGGAAGAGCGTTTTAACATTATGCATTATACATATTATCATTTCAGAGGCTCTGTGAGAATGCAGCTAAGTTCGGATGTGACGGGGACATCATTGGGCCCAGAACCAGACCGATTCTGAAAGAGCTGCAGGCGGTCCTGCTGAGGTGAGACCACGTGTCTGCATGCAGCGCTCAGTATGAGCATATGTGTCACATGCATGAAATAAATCATGTCATCTTACTGTCAATAAAAGTGTCCACTAAAAGATATATATGATGTATTCTAATTTTAGCCTTTGTCTATTTTTGAAGTGTCTTAAAAATCTGTTCGATCATCACCTGGACTAATGAGCGTTTCAACAGAAGATGCAGAAAATGCATCAGACATCTCAGGCGTTGCTAAGGAACGCTGTCAGCAGGAATGCAGACTTTGGACATGAAGAGCTTTAGTTCTTTTTCTCCCTGAAATGTCAGAGAGCATCTTTTTCTCCTCTGACCTTGTGTGGCAAACGGTTCTAAATAAAGCACTGCCGCTGACACAATGCATCACATTCGCTTTGAAGCCAAGGACACAATAAAAATGATTCTTTACATAGGTTTTATATGATTTATGTAAGTAAACATCTTTAGTGCCGTAAGTAAAATGAATAGCCTGACAATGTGTTCTCCGTGCTGACCTTACTGTTTCTTCTTTTACAGGGAACAAGCCCTGAAGAAGAGACTGGCTTTGGTCCAAGACTCCCTGAACGCAGCTCTCTCCGACAGCGCCACCCACAGGAGGGACAACGGAGAGCAGATCGCTCGGCTCACGCAAGCTCACAGGTGAACGTCAGCATTCAACGTGCTGCTGTCTTTGTCATCTTCCATCGTTTGAAGCGAAACCAACGGATGTTTTAACCTGGATCTTGTGGGCGTGTTTCATTTCAGTAAAGCCTTGAGTTCGTACCGGCAGATTCGCAGAAAGTACCGGGAGCAGGTGTGGAGGCTGGAGCAGAAAGTGGTGGCCATGGCGGAGAGTCACAACCAGAGTGGAGCAACAAAAGCAGCAGGAGAAGCGTTGGAGTGGAGGAGGGAGGAGACGGTTCTATGAGACGTGAACTCTTCAGTCAGAGAACCAGCCATCCTGAGAGCCACATGTTCTTCTTATCAGCTGCAATCTACAGATCTGCTGAATGCTCCTTCAAGACTCTGCTGTAATCTGTTTTGTTTTGTTTTTTTTATCAGATGCTTAAATTTGTAGTTAATTTTTTGGCCTCGTAAATAAATATTTATCTACCAACTCATTAATGACGTCAGTCACTTTGGGCAGGGTTTGGCTCTGGAGAGGTAAATACAGAGAATGTAGGGCAGTGGAACACAGGAAGCGCTGTGGCTTCACCCTCGTGAGGCTCACCAGTAAACTGAATATGATTCCAAGGCTTAACTCGTCTAACAGGACATCACAAGACACATTCCTTATGTCAGAGAAACAGCTGCCGTGCAGTCATGAATTTCTCCAGCTGACTGAAGGCCTGAACCCAACCAGGACCTCAGGTCTGACCTCGAGACCGCACATGTCCATTTTCCCGTAAAAGCCAACTCTACAAAGCCGAGCTGTGGGGACAAAGCTGTACGAGGAGGGGGATGGGGGCCGGGACAATGGCTGATGTGCACACAAAATGTACGGCGAGACCATTTGTCTTTTTTACACCTCACTTTCTCTGCTTTTCAAGCCTCAGAGTTCTGCTGAAGGGTCAATTCACACAAATCACAAAACAACCCCAAAAACATACTTTCTCACTTTCCTGAAGTGGTTTTTAAGTTTGAAAGGATGTCTATCTGTTGGATTTGTGCAAGACAGTAGGTGACAGAATGAGCTTTAGCTTGAGCAGCACAGCTGATAGTGCTCAGCTGTTTAATGAATCACTTCAAACTATTAAAGATATTTAGGGTCCGAGCACACCAGTGCAAGAACCCTATTGTAACCGTTGTGATTATTATTA